TCAACCACAACGTCCCAGGCCCACAATGCTACTGCATTCCACTTTTTCACTTCAAAACGTTTCTTGCCCGCGCCGCTGTTGGTGCCGCTTGGGGTATCCACATCCATCGCCGCCGCCATTTGGAAACACATCCATACCATATAATTTTTCTGAGGCTATTTTCTTTACTCAACAGTTTTTTTTTTTTTTTTTGTCTTTTTTGTGACAGGGTTTCGCTATGCTATTTGGGCTGGCCTTGAGCACACTTTGTAACCCAGGCTGGCTTCGAAGTCACAAGGATCCTCCTGCCTCAGCCTCCCAAGTGCTGGGATTATAGGCGTGCGGCACCACGCCCACCTCAACAGTATTTTTAAGACTCAGCTATGTTGTTGCGTGTCTCTGTAGTACATTTGTTGAGACATGATATAACATGAGACGTATGATTCTGGTCTAAAATTTGTACAGTTGAACCACCATCTCGAGATCAGCATTGTCGTCCGTGCTTCCCAGATGTGGTGCATGAGCGCTTCGGCAGGGGTGAGCGCCTCGCCATGGAGCCACACGAAGCCTTCAGCTGAGCTGGAAGTGCCAGCCAGCTCCCAGGTCTGCATGTGCTGTGCAGGGTCCACCGCGGCTTGGTTCCCAACTTTCAAATATGTGTTTGTGTCACAGCTAACGGCCAAATACATGTTTGTTTCATGGGTAAAGGCGATGCCTTTCTGGTCTTATTTTGCATTTCCTCCATTACTGTTGAGTTGGGTCTCTTCACGTGCTTTTTGGCCAGTCCTCTTTCCCCTCTGGTAGAACTTTTAGCTTCTTCCCATTTTCCTTATTGCTTTAAGATTTTTTTGCATATGTTGGATCCTAATTTTTTACCAATTATGTGTGTTGTAACGATCTCCCAGGGCAATTTCTTTTTTTGTTTGTTTACTTTATCAAATCTTTAATGTCTACAAGCTTATAGTCAATTTTATTGCCCCTCTTTCTCAGTTGTTACTGCTCTTTTTAAACTTGTGCTGTTGCTATTTCTACCTCGGTCTATCTGGAGTAGATAAGGAATCCAGTGTAACTGGCTCTCAAAGTGGAAAGGGAGCCTTCGTAGCATCGTGTGTCGGATGCCCGACCATCTGGTTCCTTGCTCCTCCACAAAGCGTCTCTGTCGTCTGTCGTGCAGGACGCGTGGTGGCTGCCTTGGGCCTGTGCTGTCCAGCACGCAGCCTGGCTGCCTCAAGCCCCTCCAGCCTCAGGGTGGCCGCGCTCCTTCAGAGTCTTTGCTTCTCTGTACCAGTTTTCATTCAGAATCTTGTAGGGATTTGGAATGGAGTTGAGTTGCAGCTCAAGTTTGGAAACGTGGTCTTAAGATAGTCACCATCTTACCCATACATATTTTCTTTTTCAGCTATAAAGTCACATCCTGCAAAGACTTAGAAATGTTTCTCTAAAACACCAAACTTAAAAAAAATCATGACACCATTTTCTACCAAGATAGTTAAAAGAACAGTTACTTGCTATTAAGGATCCATTACAGATTTCCTTGTCAGTGTTGTTACATTTATGTGGGGTTTTCCCCATAGGATCCATTATGTCTCATATCTTACATTTGTTTGATGTGTCTTTTATTTTCATTTTATTTTATTCTTTCATGAGTTCAGGCTGGCCTTGAACTCATAATCTTTTTGAGTCAGCCTCTTGAGTGTTGGGATTTTTGGTATGTTTCTAAAATTCTTTTTCATCGGTAGGTTCTGAGTGTGTGCATGTATGTGCACTGGGTCATTTGTTCTAAGGGATTTCTCACACCCTGGCTTTGCTGGTGGCATCTTTGTATGGGTCAGGGTTCTTCAGAGAAAGGGAACCAGTAGGAGCAGGGTGGAGAGCTATGCGGATGGATAGGTAGGTAGATGGAACTTAATTGACTCCCATTATTATGAACCTGAGAACCAACCCCCAACCCCTGTCCTTCTGCTGTCTGTAAGGTGGAGAGCTTCAGAGCCTGGTGATGTAGCTCGGTCCAGATGCAAAAACCTGCCAGCCAGGGAAACTGGGGTGTAACTCTCAGCCTGAGGCTGCAGGCCAGAGAACCCCCCTGGTGTGAATCCTGGGGTCCAGAAGCAGGAGGCACAATGGCATTGTGTGAGACCCAGGCTAGGAGCACCTGGGCGCCCTGGCTGCAGGAGAAGGCTCATTCGCCTGGTGCTGCTGTCCTGTTCTGTTTGGGCGCTCAGGGGACTGGATTTTGCCCTACTTCCAGAGAAGGTTCTTCTCTGCTGACCTCGTTGATTCATACCAGCATCTCAGCTGGCCTGGTGGTTCACACCTTCAATCCCATCACTCTGAAGGCTGAAGTACGAGAGAGACATGTTCGAGCCCAGCCTGAGCAACTTAGTGACTCAGAAAGACCGTGTCTCAAAACAAAACGTAAAACAGGACTGGGTATGTAGCTCTGTGTAAAGTCCCTACATTCAATCCCAAGTATCGAGAAAAATAACTAACAAGAGGAAAATGTCCTCTTCTAGAAACAGTAATGCTCTGATACACGCATTCCGAAGGAATACTTTGTCAGCTGTCTGTTTATCCCAGAAACTAGTCAAATTGACACCTAAATTTACATGTGAGTATACATATATTTGCTTTTTTCCTCCCTCCTGAAGTTTTTTGTAAATCAGTAATTAAATCTAGAGATTTGAAGCTATTGAAAGCATTTGAGGGTTTTGTTTCCCTCGGGCTGGAGCTCACATGGAGGATGCTGTTGTGTCCTGTCAGAAAACAGGTCTGGGCGTGTGTGCTTGCTGCGCGGTGGACGTGGGTGCCCTGGCTTCGGGGGTGGGGCCCTTGGCCCGCCCTGTGTGTCCCCACCAGGCTTGCTCCTGGTGCTTGGTTTTATTCAGCAGCTTGTGATGGTCTGTTGCTCATTTGTTATTTCAGTAGGACATGCAAAGTGTCACCCTTATTGTCCTCTTTGCCTGCCTCGTGGCGTCAGTCATCATGTGAGAGGAGCAGAACGGGTGCTCGCTGCTTGCTTGCTACAGAAAGAGACTGTAAAAAATCGTTTCGTTCTGTAGTTTTTTTCCAGAGATAAATAGTGGTCTTCTTTCTAATTATTACTATAAAATTTGGAATTTTATGTAAAGCTTAGAATTGGCTTCTCCATTTTTATAAACAAACAAACAAATGCCCAGTAGCTTTTGATTGCTTTGGAATCTTAAGTCAGTTGGGAGATAAGTAGAATCTCAATACTTAACCTTCCAATCTATGAATCACATATTTCTCTTAGTGAGATTTCTTAAAATTTCTCTTGGCATTGCTTTAAGTACATTTGTTTTTTGTTAACTGGCCTTGGGTCTCGTAAACTTGCTAAACACATTGTTTCTGGGAGAGTTCCTTTTAGATTCCTTGGGATTTTCTTTGTGGATGAATGCGTTCTTTGCATGGTTTCATCACTTCCTGTTCAGTGTTTCTATCTTTAATTTTTTTTCTTGTCCACTGAACCGACTGCAGCTCCGCCGCACCTGCCACTGAGTAGGAGTGCAGAGAATGGTGCTCTGTCGCTAGCCCTTCCTATGGGTGCCACCCCTGCTCCTCCCAGGAAGGATGGCCTTTGCTCTCCACCACTCCCCCTTGGCGTGGTACCCCCCTAGGATCCATGGCGTGGTATCTGCCTTGGGCCTGGGGCCAGAGGACTTGCTGGCCACCTCCACGGTGGACAGGTGTTGGGCCTGGGTGGGAGCCGGGGCGCTATCCTCTCCTGGAGCCCTCTGATTGCAGGCTGTGCTTGGCTCCTGGGCCCTTCTGCACTGCGGGGCTCCTGGGTCCACCTGCCCACTGAAGCGCTGCTTCCCACAGCAAGTCTACAGGGAAGTAGGTGGGGCTGGCTGCCCTTGTTCCAACTAGTGGTCTTTCCTGAGTCACTTCTCCGCCAGCCTTTTCTGAGTGCGTAGGGCCAGACTTGGTAACGAGTGTGGAGCCCGGAGGTGGCCCTCGAGAAGGCCTTACGCTCATTTCTTCTCTCACTCATGTCCTCACTTTCATTTATAGTTTTGCCACTTAATCACGCCTTCCTTAGCAGCGTGGCTTGGTTGTACCAGGGCGTACTTTTCTTTATGTGGCATGTTTGCCAAGCATAGTAGTTACGTTAGCTTGGGGGAACCTGCCATTTCTTCACCATTTTGTTCCTTTTACTCTCTCCAAAAGGCTTGCCTCCCTGTTCCTGCAACCTCTCCTTTAACTTTCTCTTTGATTAATTTCTTTGCTGCAGAGCCGTGTTTTTCTCGCTGAGCCGAGGCTTTGTGTTTGGTTCTTTTCTGCTTGTTTGTACTGCTTGCCAGCATGCTACAGCTGGCCTCAGGAGCTCTTGGGTGCCGCGTCACTGGGGCGCATCCTCGGGGCCTAGCAGCAGCAGCAGCAGCAGCAGCAGCAGCAGCAGCTCCCACTCCCCAGGACTCACTGGAAATGCCGCTCGCCGGCTCTGGCTCTGCCCTTGCCCAGCCTGGTCAGGGACGAGGCATGGCCAGCGTGTGCTGGAGCAGGGCAGGGCGGCAGCACCTGCTGGCTTCCGAGACCTCGCCCAGCTCGCGTGACATGGGAGTGGGGGGCAGTGGGCTGCATGGGTGAGGGCTCCAGCCATCTGGGAAGGCCCCTTTTCTTGGCAATGCCTGCTTCTCTCTTTTTTTTTTCCTTCTTGTTTTAATTTCAATGTCTTTATTGTAGAGTTAAAAATTAGACATTGGTCAGTGAAATGTACAAGTCTGGGACTGACTGGTCTGAATTAAATGCTCTGAGTGCAGGGAGTATGCCACTATCTGTAATCTCAACCCCAAAACCTGTAGTAATGTGGGCACACTGATAATTACGAACATGTCAAAGTAAATTTGAAGAAAAGTTTTTAATTTTAGGTTAATTTTTTTCCTGTTTCTAACAGTTGCTTTGCCTTGTTTTTTAAAAGCCTTATGAGACCTGAGCTTGGTGAAATAGCCCTATGATGCTTTTTGACTGATTTCCATGTACCTGCTTTTCTTTCCTTTTAGCTCCTATCTCTTCTTTTTGAAGATTTGTTCAAAAAATTTAATTCTGAAATGAAGAAGATCGCAGACCAGGTGATTCCCAAGCAAAGAGCCGCCCAGTTTGATGTTGTGAAACACATGCGACAAGACCAGATCACCAGTGGCATGGTGAACGCCATCTCCACTGTGAGTGCGGTGGCGTGGCGTGGCGTGGTGTGGCGTGGCGTGGCGTGGGCAGCCCCCGGGGAGGGAGGTAGCTCTCTTTTAAGAGAGTGTACGAAAATTTTGACCTGGTTTGGAAAGTTGACGTGTTCTCAGCTTTATTTCTGCAGCCGCCCTCCCCATGCTAGGCTTGGTTTTAGTTTCCACAGCGGCGTTTGCTTACAATCAGCTACTATCTGAAAATATTAAGTGAAAAATTCCAGGAATAAATGATTTATAAAGTTTAAGTAACCTTTACTATGGTATAGTTTTCCCATTTTATTATTGTTAACCTTTTATCACCGCTAACGTATAACTCACTTTTTCATACATTTGTATGTAGCAAACAAGATCTATAGGGTTTTGTACTGTTATACAGTTCCAGACATCTGAGGGGCCCTTGGGTCCTGTCTGCTGTGGGCAAGGAAGGATTTCTGTAGCCTTCCCTCCAAATGACTGTCTCTATTCTATTAGGCAATAAGCAAACAGGGGAAAATCTTCTAGTGTAGCTGGTAGCCATTCTGTTAGCAGGTAGCTTTTCTCCTGTATTTTCTGTAATAAAATTGACATTTCTTACAGGCCTAATCGGCGTCTGTCCTGTGGCCCTCACAGGCTTCAGGTCTCAATGGCCTGCTGTTCTCAGAGAGCTATGCACTGTTCCCTTTGACTGTGGCTTGCCCTGGCAGCTGCTGCGCACCCAGCCTCAGGCTGCTCATGGGAGGGAAGCTTTAGGACAGGCCTTGGCTGCCTGCAGGGCACAGCCACCACACTCTAGCTTGTGTGGGCGGGCTCATGCCTCACAGAGTCCCGCACCTGCACTTGCTTCTGGTCGCAAGGGAGTCACTGCACGCGCTTGTTTCCTGCTGCACCCGGGACATGCACATGGCGCTTCGAGGGCAGCTGTGCAGGGCCGCGTGCTGGAGCCCTGTGCGCAATGTGTGAGGAAGCTCGGTCTGTTTTCCCTGCTTCCTGAGCGTGCATTCCAGTCTCTCTTAGCGCTGTTTGTAGGAGTTCTTTTGCCCTAAAGGACGCTGCGTATTAGAGAAGTAGCACTGACCTTCTGGCAGGTGTGGTGATCTGAAGGCGCCCGGGGATGGGCGGCCCACTGCCACTGAGGGGGGCTTTCCCCAAATCTGGTTTTTCTGAGGAGCAGTTCAGAACTGTGTGTCCCCGCTTTTGGGGTGCTCTTGCGGAATTCGGGCCCACACTCTTCCTGAACATCTTGGCTCCACTCCCCATCTACTTCCTGTTTGCCAACGGCTGTTGTTTTATTCTGGCTTGGTGCTCAGTACTTGCCTTATTTACACTTGCTTTTGGGCATAAGTCTGTTTGCTAGGTTTCGAAGGTAAAGGGAGCTAACTGAGTAAGCAGCACAGGCATCTGAGGGGTACACATCTTTGCTGAGGTGTTTATGTTGTATGGGGCAAGGTTTCTGAGAACTCAGCTTGTTGCCACAGTATCCAGAGCTCAGGCTTCTCCAGTGATAGCTCCTCGCTGCGCAGACAGCCCTGCAGCTTTGTGAGCGGGGAGCGCGCCCAGGGCCTCACGCCCCGAGGTGAGCACAGGGCTGCATGCGCAGTGGGGCTCATGCCCCTCTCCAGAAAGAGTTGACCGTGTGCACTGGGTTCTCGAAGGGGCTCGGAGAACTGCGGTTGCCATTTTTCTCTCTGGAGTCAGAAAGACAGTTGAGTCAACTGTTATTTCTGACATTTATTTTCTACTTTGCTGTTTGTTGACATTAAAGCTTTTAAAAGGTTTGCTATCACTCACATAGGATTTTAGATTTCTCTGGCCTCAATCAAGAGTTGCTATCCAGGGCTGGAGAGATAGCTCAGCAGCACAAGTGCCTGCCTGGCAAGTGTAAGGTCCTGAGTTCACTACCCGGTACCACAAAAAAAAAAAATTGCTATCCATCATTTTTCTGTTGTTATGTTTTCTTCTAACTAAGTACAATGTTGGAAGACATCAGATAAGAGATTGTCTCTGGGAACTTTAGCCTCATTTCACCCTAAGCACGCAGAGAGTGCTGCAGTTCTGTCAGCCCGTTGCCTCCCACGACTCCCTGATTGAAAGAGCTGAGTCACTGTATAGCAAGCAGTTCCTCAGAGGCCACTGCTTGGCTGTGGTGAGACTACAGGGAGGCAGTCTGAGGTGCTTCTGGACATTGTTCATATTCTTCCTGCTCTGAGGAAAGGTCAACAAATGGCCTGCTAAGATTTAGCTTCCGCTGTGGCCTTTTGACTCCCAGAGATGCATTGTAGCTGTAATTTCATAGGCGAGCAACTTCTACCACGAACTTGAGGGTGGCTGCTCAGCATTAGGGAACATAGGGAGAGGTGAGGGGCGGTCTCATACCTTTCATCTCTCCACAGGGAAATTGGTCTCTGAAAAGATTTAAAATGGACCGCCAGGGTGTGACCCAAGTGCTGTCTCGCCTGTCCTATATATCTGCCCTGGGCATGATGACAAGAATCTCTTCTCAGTTTGAAAAAACCAGGAAAGTGAGTGGTCCTCGCTCCCTACAACCATCACAGTGGGGAATGCTCTGTCCTTCGGACACTCCTGAAGGAGAGGTAAGGGCCCCACGGGGTCGGGATGGGGCAGGAGGTCAGATGTACTGGGGTGGAGAATGGGGGTTCTACTCCAGCTGTTGTCACAAAGCGATTCCGCTTCCTTGATGTTCACTTACTGGCAAGAAATATTGGTGCTGCTTGTCGAGACTTTGGCATCAACCCAGAGCCAGTCCCTGAGATACACCTGAGTCAGCTTCTTACCACAGAGATCAATGGACCGCATTTCCTTGTTTGTGGTCGCGTAACCTAAGAATCAGTGTGTTGAAGAGGGGATGAGAACGTGAGGACACAAGGGACCCGTCACCCCGATGTGCATGCAGTGTCCTTTCTGAGGAGTGCCCTACTTACCCGAGGCACTCCTAGGACATCATGTGGTCGGTTACAGCAGTCAGGCGTGTGTGGTCCCCGCCCTTCAGTACAGCGCTTTCGAGCTGACGCCTGAGCACGAAGCCAAGCGGCTGCGTAGGTCCCCTCGCAGCGCCTGCTGGCTCCTGGCTTTCACCTTCCCAATGCTTGTTCACTTGATTCTGCTGCTTCTCAGTCATGCGCTTCGGGGAAGATCATCCTCCGTGGTCACTCGGGTTTCAGCACAGGCGCCTCATAACTATGTGCTGAATGAGTAAGTAAGTTAATTTACTATGAGTAAAAGATAAAGGTTCCAAAGTATAGACATTTGTTTTAACTTTCAGAAGAGGTGAAAAATAGATGTAAAAGCGGAGTTGTGAGTTTTAGAAATTCTAACTGAAGCCAGTTGGAAATGTACACGAAATACAATACATTCAAGTCTGCACAGTTTACTCATTTGCTGCCTGACTTCGCTATCCAAGAGATTGTGCCAGCTAATGAAGTGCCTACTTTGTACATTACTATAGCAGATGGCTTTTAAGAATTAAAGACAATCTTTCCATACCACACATGTTCAGTGTGTTTTCTGTTTGCTGTATTCTGTCCTTACTGATACTTTGGGGTTTTTGTCTTTGTTTTTGATTGTATGGAAATTTAGAAATATTTGTTATTTCCTTTCATTATAAAATAATTCCAGACATACAAAAAAGCTGCAAAGATAGTAGGAAGAGTTTCCTTAACCCTTCAGCTAGAGTCCCCGAATGTGGCTGTCATGCCTGGCCATGTCATGTCACCAGCCCCTTGAGGGTGACATTGAGAGTGGTACAGTCTGGACACCTGTGTACATCCTCCCGTTGTTCTGCCAGCGTCACGTCCTGATCTAGGAGACGTGCTTGTCTAGTGTGGAGTAATTCTTCTGGACCTTCTTTGCCTTTTGTGACCAAAAATTGTGAAGCGTTCTGGCCAGTTGTTTTACAGATGTCTGTCATTTCCAGTCAGTTTTCTATTTTTATGTAGGCTTAAGGAGCAACATTTATCAGTGTTCTCCTGCGTTATCATCATGGGTATGATGTTCTGTTGTATGGGAATGACTGTTCATAGTAGCCATTTCTTCCTGCACTGTTACGATGTCATCATTATAATTGTAAATATCATACTGAGCATTTCTGTGGCTAAATCCATTTTACATTTCACTTGAAGATAAATTTCTCTGGGTAGAAAAAATGTGTGTGAATTACCAAAGTGGACCTTACAAGATTACACTATTTTATATTGTCACAGCAGAGTGGTATTTTCAGATACAAATTGTATTTTGGGTTACTAATGCAGATTCTTAGACCTGGCTGTTTTATGTTTTTAGGCCTGCGGTTTAGTTAAAAACTTGGCACTGATGACACACATCACAACCGACATGGAAGATGGACCCATTGTTAAGTTAGCCAGCAACCTGGGAGTGGAGGATGTGAATTTCCTGTGTGGGGAAGAGCTCTCCTACCCAAACGTGTTTCTCGTCTTTCTCAATGGTGCGTCTGTCAGAGACGTGCTTGTCCTGGGCAGGGTGACGGACCTGTTACTGTGCGTGCATCGGCTGCACAGACACCCTTCAGCTCTGGGCCCAGGCTGACCTTATTGGACAGACAGACCTCTGAGCAGAGGGACAGTTCTTCTGGCTGCGGTCCCCGGGTTCTGTGAGCAATGGCTGGCCGTCTGGGTGGGGCCCACGCTGCCAAGGCTGACGTCCTGCTCGTTCAGAGCTGCTGGGGCGTCCTGAGTGCAGAGGCGCAGCTGCTTAGGAGCGCGTCCGTGCGCCGGTCCTTCTGCACAGACAGTGAGACCCTGTGGGAGTGGTGTCCGGCCACTTGATCATGCACTGTGGGCGGCCTAGGCAAGGTGCTTAGACAGGTATGCTCAAAATATTTGATCAGTGTTCAGAGTTTAAAAAGTTACAGTAAAAAAAATATATTGTCACTAATCCCCCTCGAAATCCCCTCTTAGTTTGGACATATCCCCTCCACACCACTTTCTGAAGCAGTTCTAGAGTCCTCTTTTGTGAGTGTCTCTGTAAAGTGTGGTCAAAAGCCAATGACTACTGCTGCCCATTGTGTTCCAGTGGAAAGGCAGCTTGTAAAACCACAGCGCTGTGTCCTCATCTGCCTTAGTCACCAGATCTGGCCCTGTGCGCCTGTGGCTCTTCCCCTAATTCAGTGACCATGAAAGGGACATGATAGATTCAGGACATGAAAGCAGCTGTGATGGTGCACTAGAGACTCAGAAAAGCTGGGTGCCACAGTTGCCTGCTCTCTCTGCGATGCTGGTCCACATCTGTCTGCTGTGCTCATCCCAGCCATTTAGTGCGGGCCTCCTTTCCCTCCCTCTCCGGTGGCAGCCACTGCCCATGACCGTGCGGTCTGCTGGGAAGGTCAGGAGCTGGGCAGGGCTGCTCGCAACCTGCCTGCCTCTATCCAGTGCGTCCCATGCTGCCAGGAGTGAGCTCTTAGCTTGCGCTGTGCCCAAGCCTCCGCCCTCCTGTGGGGCGCCCCGTTTCCTCTCCAGCACCCTGAGGACGTGTAGGAGCCAGGGTTCAGACCCAGACTGTGTGCTGTGCATAGAATGAGGTTGACTGCAGCATCCTGCTAGAAACTGCATCCGAATGGCCGCGTGTGCTGCTTAGGAGTCTTGCTGGGAAGACATTGAAATCAGGTTAGGGTCATCTTTTACTTCTCTCTCACCTCCTGCACTTAGGCAACATCCTTGGGGTCATTCGAGACCATAAGAAGCTGGTGCACACGTTCCGATTGATGCGAAGAGCTGGGTACATCAACGAGTTTGTCTCCATCTCTACAAATCTCACAGACCGATGTGTTTATATTTCTTCTGATGGAGGAAGGCTGTGCAGGTGTGTGTTGCTAGAAGCAGTGTAGGAAAAAAACAAGGTAAGAGTGGAAAGAGGTAGACCTTTTGTATTTGAAGGTACTTGGATCTCTTTCGGTGTTCAGGTAAATCTAATTTGGTTAGCAAACCCGCAGCGAGGAGTAGAGATGAGTGAGCAGCTCAGAGATGAAGGGAGCTCGTCTGCACGTGACAAGCCTGTGATAGGACCGCGGCTTGTGTGCACCTGAGCGTTGCGCTCTCTGGCTTGGTTTCCTTGACCATTGGGTATAAGAAAGCATAGCTTAGGACTGGCGGCCTGAGCGTGATGGCGGGTGTGCTGATGGAGGGAAGGAAGGTGTGCTGATGGAGGGGGCGGGAAGCAGGCTCGCCGCAGGTGCACGTTTGCAGTTGTCTTCAGCATAGCCTCATTTGGGACTGGAAAAGCACTGACATGTCCAAGATTATTTTTTTTTTAGATTATTCTTTTTAAAAATTTATTTCTTTCATTACATCCAATATAAGAAAGCGTGCTCTAAGAGAAAATACTCATTTTTAGAAACCCTTATGTTGTGGCAGACCTTGGTGAGGTGGGGAGAGCACTCGACTGTGTTGTGTGCCATCCGTCTCTTTCATCACCTGCCTGTTACCCTAAGTTCACCATGGCCCTCACAGGTGGCAGTAATACCCCCTGCCTCACTGCCAAGAAGCTGGAGTTTGTGGCACTGCTGGTTTCCGTGGGAAACTCACCCAGTGTCTCCTCAGGGACATGCACGTCCCTACAGGACCATGCATACTCTTCTCATGTGTGCTTGTCCCCACACAGCCTGGGCACAGGGTGGGACACAAGAGTGTCTGCTCTGACTGGCTTCTGTTGGTGGGCCTGATCTGCCCAAAAGCAGCAGGCTTTGTGGTCCTGGGTGCAAGCTGTCCTTTGTGTGCGTGTTTCCTTAGGCTGACAGTTACGGGTTAATCTGCACCTCAGGCCACTACACCACAGAGAGTTGCCACGCAAGTGGCTTTGCTCTCTGCAAACAGCCAGGCCCTCTTTGGTCAGCCGTGGCTTGAAGTAACTTGAGTTACTGTGAGTCACACTCGCCGGTGTCCATCCTGAATTGGGTACTGCATTCAGCACTTTGCAAACCTCGTACCAGGTGTGTTTCAGCATCAGGGCCAGTGCTTACCTGCCTGCTCAGCTTCGGTGTCACAGCAGCTCCCCTCTCCCTGTCTTTGTGGCCAGGACCTAGAGCAGTGCCAAGCCCTGTGTACGCTGTGTGGTTCTGAGCTGGTGATAGAGATGCTGCTAGATTACTCCCAGGTGGCTAAGGTATGCAGTGTGGACACTAGGTGAATGTGTTCAGGTAACACGTGTGACATGGATGCTAGGTGAAGGCGTGTGGGTAACGTGTACAGTGTGGACACTAGGCGAAAGGTTGATTCCTATATGAGGCAGAAGAGAGTGAGGTGGCGCAAGATTCCACCATGCTTCTCAGACCAGTGCACAGTTGAACTCATGAATTGTTTGTTTCTAGAATTTTCCAACTAATACTTCTGGGCCCTAGTTGGTCTTAGGCAGCTAAAATCACCAAAAGCAAAGCCACCAAAACCATAGATAGGGGCTGGTGAAATAGCTCAGTTGAATAAGCGCTTGCCTGGCAAGTACAAGGACCTGAGTTCCATCCCCAGCTCTGCAAAAATAAATAAATAAATAAATAAATAAATAAATAAATAAATGTAAAACCACAGATAAGAGCGGCTATGTACCGCGCATTCCCAGTGTGAAATTAGGATGTGTTTCTGGAGTGATGATTTGTACAAGTTTTGAAAGTATGACGAAGTTTTTAATTTTCTCTCCAGATTTTATTGTCTTTTTTATATTGCTTTTCCATTGAAACCAAATGCTTTCTAAGATACTGGAAGTACCGTGTCATGTTTATGTGTGTACATATTGTACATATCTCATGTACGTGGGTGTGTGTGCATGTTTGTGTGTGTGTGTGTATGAGAGAGAGAGAGAGAGAGAGAGAGAGAGAGAGAGAGAGGAAGAGGAAGAGAACGTAGGTTTCCTGCACTCTCACACGCCAGAACCCCTGCTGCCCCTGCGTAGTCCAGGGGAAGTGTGCACTGTGTCTGCATCTTCCTCACTTCGTGGTGGTAAACATAGTTGCTGATAAAATTTTCATTACCAGCATGTTCCTTTTTTTCAATTTTAGGCCTTACATAATCGTCAAAAAACAGAAGCCAGCAGTCACAAATAAGCACATGGAAGAGCTGGCCCAGGGGTACAGGTAAGTGCGAGGTGCGTGCTCTGAGGGCAGCAGCGCCGCTCGGCACTCTTGGGCAAGTGTGCTTTCATGCCTGTCTCGCAGGTCCTCTCCACCACCTGTCAGAGAGTCGTGTTTCACCATCTGAAGCCGCTTGGCCAGGAGAAGGGGTTTATCAAGCTGGGTTTTAAAGGTTACAGAGGCTTGCTGCAAACCAGTGCACTGTGGAGTATTCCTAGTCACAAAAGGACCTTCCTCTGTACGTGACATGGACCTTGTGGCCGCTTAGCACATGGAGTTTCTAGCATCAGAGTCTTAGAACTTGGGGTCCAGCTGACAAGAATCACAGGCACAGAAGTGTGTTTATTTCAGGGGTATATGACCAGTCTGTGATCCAGGGTGGTCTGTGTCAGTATCCCAGTATGTTGGCCCCTTGCAGGAAAAAGGTGCTTTGGGCCTGTTGTTATTGTGTAAGAACAGCACCCTCAGCACCTGCTGTTCTGTAAAGAGCTGCATTAAAGCACCTTTTTATTGGAAATGTTTCTTTTGCCAATATTTTCCCAGGAATTTTGAGGATTTCTTACATGAGAGTCTGGTGGAGTATTTAGATGTGAATGAAGAAAATGACTGCAGCATCGCACTCTACGAACACACAATCAACAAGTAAGCAACACCTCAGCAGCCAAGCCACACGGCTTTCTCTGCTCGCCTCTGCCCTGGGCTCTTCGGTCCTCGCTGCAGAAGCACACCCTAGTAGTTTCCTAGCGAAGCACACCCAGCACTCACCTCAGTTGAAAGTAGCTCAGGTCATTTGTAGATTTAGTTGTTCTTCCTATTGGTGTAAACTTTAACTCTTTTTTTAAACAAAAGAATCACTTCTGTGTAATATCAGATTGCTGCGAAAATTAATCAGGCCGCATAAAAAATGTGCTTCTGTCTTCTGGGAGGATTTAGGCTGAGCTCTTACCATCAGTCCAGGAATGCTACATGGAACATTGGGTAACACGCTCCCTAAGCTTACGGGCTTCGTAAACGTGAGCTGTTCGTAATATTTCTCCCAGCACGGTGATGTTCAGAGCGTTGAGCTCCACTTGGGCGCACGGCAGACAGCCGATGAGTTGCTTCCAACGACGCGGTCCCCGGGAGGCCAGTGCTCCCACCGGGTCGCTGTGCATGTGTTCGTGCTGCTGCAGGTGCAGACCGAGGCCCAGGGCTGCCTCCCTCCTGGGTCTGCCCCTCGGCAGCCGGGCCCAGAGTTTGATATGTTTGCATCTGGATAATTTTCTAAGTAAATATAGACATACATACATACATACATGAGCCCACGTAGCGGGTGCGTGTCGGACGAGGATGGCATGGTTTATAGTGTCTTAGTTGTTCAGTTTAACAGTGTGTTCTGGGCATTTTACATACTTTTACGTGTATTTATATTTTCACGTATAGATACCTTTGTCTTATGCTGTTCTCGCCCTCCACACACACATACCACTTAGCTCACTGCCGCTAAGTCCCAGAAGCAGTTAGGACAGCCTAGAGCTTGCACCGATAGCACACAGCCTGCTGGGGCACACCTGCCCCAGGTTCGCCACACCAGTGTAGCTTATTTATGATTATTACAGTATTACTGGTTTTATGGGTTTTTTTTCACTTATACATCTGGTACAGGGTCTCTGTGCAGCTCGGACTTGTAGTGATGCTCCTGTTTCCACCCTCCCCGGCGCTGGGGTTACAGGTGTGCACCATCGTGCCCAGCGAGTGATGCTCTTTAAAAAACCAAAACAAGCTCAGAGCCTTTTCCCTCCTTGCTAACAAAGGTGTAAGGTGGTGATAGGATTGGGCTGCTGCTAATCCTGAGGAAATGTTCCTCAAACTGAAGCACCTTCACCACACTGGGGTGAAATGTATTACCTGTGCACTGAGGAAACACTGTGTGGCTGGCTTGTGGCACGGAGGGCTTCCCTGGCCACTTCAGGGGGGTCAGGCCTGGAGACTGCTTCTGTCTAGAGACTGCAGGACCAGGCAGTGCAGGCATCACTGCACGTGGGGGAGGGGGCCAGCTGGGACTGGAGACTGCAGGGCCAGGCAGTGCAGGCATCACTGCATGTGGGGGAGGGGGCCAGCTGGGGCTGGAGACTGCAGGGCCAGGCAGTGCAGGCATCGCTGCACGGGGGAGGGGGGACAGCTGGGGCTGGAGACTGCAGGGCCAGGCAGTGCAGGCATCGCTGCACATGGCGGGGGGGCCAGGTGGGGATGGAGACTGCAGGGCCAGGCAGTGCAGGCATCACTCCACGTTGGGGGGGGGCAGCTGGGGCTGGAGACTGCAGGGCCAGGCAGTGCAGGCATCGCTGCCCGGGGGAGGGGGGACAGCTGGGGCTGGGTCCTCAGCAGTGTCTTCCTTTCAGCACAGCCCTGCAGGAGTCTGGCTCTGTCCACCTATCTGCAAAAATGTGCTATGAGCCCAGGTTATAGCTCAGTGGCATAAGCGCCTGCCTGGCAAGCGCAAGGTCCCGAGTTCGATTGCCAGTACCAAAAACAAAGCAGAACAGAAAAATGTGCTATGAAATTAACTGAGACTCTGACACCCACTAGGGAAAAGCTTTGTATCCCATCCCATAGTGCAGCTGCCAACAAAAGCCTAATGCAAGCCCTGATACAACTGCAGATCTCTTAGTGGTTACAAAAAAAAACCCAAAAGAAATTGAATAAGATTAGACTGGGCGTGGTGGAGCATGCCTGTGATCCCAGCATTTGGGTGGCTGAAAACAGGAGGATCACTATGAGTCTGATTTACGTAGTGAGACCCTGTAGACCCTGTACTAAATACATTTTTAAAAAGTTGAGTAAGGTTAATTTTACTGTTTTTATTTAGCTGTCATACCTAAAGTATTATGTTAGCTTGTGAGCAGTGCACAAATGCAGAGGTATTTCTCTTCGGTTCCTCCCGCAGGTCTTCAGACTGCTGGGCACCTACAGCTCATCCCATTTCAGATGCTGAATTGCATCAGAAACAGTTTCAACAGAAAAAGGAGATTCACAAATGGAAATTGTTCCAAACATAGTTAATGTTTTAAATGACAAATTGAGTTATATAAATTTAAATTTGAGTTTTAAATTTTCAAGTAATTAAAATTTAGTAAAATTAAAAATCAGGGGACCGGGAGATAGCTCAGTAGAAGAAGCGCTTGCCTGGCAAGTGCAAGGGCCTGAGTTCAATCCCGGGTTCCGCAAAAAAAAAAAAAAAAAAAAAAAAAAAGTTAAAAATCAGTTCCTGAGTTGCCGCAGGTGCACATGTGGTCCCTGCGGTCTGTGCAGCGCTTCTCCCAGGTGTGCCACAGCGTACTGGTTGGTGGACAGGGCTGGAAGAGGCGAGAGCGGGTCTGCATGGCTGTTACTGGTTGTTGTTGCTCCCAACTGCCACGTTCAGTTGTGGCTGCAGGTGGACTGCTAACACCGCAGTCTGAGTGTGTGCTGCCGTAGTGTCTTACTGTTACACAAGTACTCTCACATTGTTTCCCTTCTCTTATATTTTAGTCCCTAAAACAACTCAGGTAACGTTTTGTCACCGCCGTTTAAGCATGTGTCTGTTGCACCAGTTTTCCTGGGGTCTAAGTTCATTGTCTTAGCAGCTCTGGGCCCAGGTGACGCTGTGCCCCTAAGAATCCCTGACTCCAGCCCTGCTTGCCTGAGCCGTCTCCTCCTTACCTTGCTAGAGACACCACGCACCTGGAGATCGAGCCCTTCACGCTGCTCGGCGTCTGCGCGGGCCTCATCCCGTACCCGCATCACAACCAGTCCCCGAGGAACACCTACCAGTGCGCCATGGGCAAGCAGGCCATGGGTAAGTGTGCTCGGGCCGGGCGGCGGTGCCCACAGAACCTTCTGCTCGCCCCGCCCCGTGCATCTGGCAGTTCCTGGTGTTGATGCCGAGGCCTCTAGGCTTACCGGGCCTCTCCTGCCCGTGCACACGTCCTCCCCCAGCCTGTTCCCTTCACCGTGGTGGCAGTGATAACACACTGGATTAAAAGAGAATAAACAAATTGTTAACGGAGAAAGATGGAAGAAAGCAGAAAGACTCAAGGCGGGAGAAGAGGGGCGAGGTGGGCGAGGTGGGCGGCACACGGTGCGTCCCGGAAGGCACCAGGCCGCTCTGGACGTGGGCGCTAGGGCCCTGATGGATCCTCACACACTGCCACATCTCCCAGGACCCGGTACTCCAACTTCTTTTTCTTAATTTTTTTTAAGTTAATTAATTAATTTGGTATAGGTCTTACTATACAGCTCCGACTGGTAGTGCTCCTTCTGTCTCAGCCTCTCCAGCGTTGTGGTTACAGGCACGTACCACCAGGCGTGGTTCTAAGGCCAGCACGGCCTGTGGTACTGGGGCTGAGCCCAGGGCCTGCCAAGTCATCTTCCGAGTCCTACTCCAACTTCTGAGTTCAGTCTTCTTCTTCCTATGTTTCTTTCTTTTTTTTCTCTCTACCTGTTAATTTATCTGTGATCCATCCACTCATCCATAGCATTTGTTGAGCAAAACTGTAGAGTAGACATGGGGGCCGAAGCTGAAATCAGACAGGCTGGGGCCCCAGGCACAAGTGGTCTGGGACTAACCTATCGCACAGTCATCAGCCCCTGTACGGCTTCTGTGAGGGGACCACAGCTGGGGTCTGAGGACGGCAGGGAGGAGGCTCGAGGAGAACGGACCGGGCTACGTGGCGACAGTGAAGGCTGGTTAGAGGTGACGGGCGTGGGTGCAAGCGTCTTGGGCCAAGTTCGGGGACCAAGGCTGGCTGGGGTGGGGCCTGGGGTGGAGCTGTGCAAGCAAAGGACCGTGTAGGAGCAGTTGGCATTGTAAAAATTGACACAGAGAAAATTCCACACCTGCCCAGCCCCAAAAGAAAAACAAGTGTTGCTGATAAACCTTGTCTCAGAGTTCCTAAAGATCATTCAGATCCTATTAAGTTTCTCTTCAGGTACGCCTGTGATGCAAGCCTGACTTGTCCTCTCTAGTTTTAAGTGACTTAAGAGCTCAGAAGTGGTGAAGCAGGGAGGGGGAGGGGCACATGGCCTCTGGGTGACAAGGACCACCAGCCAGCTTCTCCATTACCAGCAGCCAGCTGCCACCACAGCAGCGCACCAGCACAGGAATCCCAGCGCCTCGTCACAGAGCAGGGAGTGTCTGTGTTTCCAGTTTGTCCATTACACGAAGGAGACAGGCAAGGCATGGCGGGGAGTGCGGGGCAGTAACAGGTTGAGGCCTCCAGGACTGCGCTGCGTGTGCTCGCAGGGCCGTCCCTCCTGCCGGCTCCAGCTCCACTAAACTGTCTGTCTCCCGACGTGAAGCCCCGCTGAAACAGCGTGCCTTCTGTGTGGCACCTTCACGGAGGTGTGGAAGGCTGGCCGCTCTGCTGTTGGCGAAGCCACTCCTGCTCAGAGATTGAAACAAGCACTCAGCTCTCTCCCCAGGAAGGCAAGGCTGTGGAAGGAAGGAAGGAAGGAAGGAAGGAAGGAAGGAAGGAAGGAAGGAAGGAGTATAGATTTGAAGAAACAAAATTCTATTTTTGTTTTTGTGATACTCTCCACACGAAAATAAGGCCATCTTTATTTCGTGGCCTGAGTGGCTGCAGTGTTGGGTTAGTTACCACACACAGTTAAGCAGGATCAGGGCGTACAGAAGGCCAATTCAGTGTCTGTAGAGTTCTTTTGTACTTTCCTGTGTGAAGGTTTTTTTTCTCGTTTTGTTTTGAGTGTCATTTGCAATTCATTGTCTATGTTTTCTGAGGTTGGTGTATTCAGCTGCTCTGACCCTGGGTCTTGCACATTTAGCTCCTTGGATACAATCCTCTGACGTTACTGCTGACGCTGGGCAGACAAAGGCACTGAATATCTTTAAGTAATAAAAAAAAAAAGCCTTTGTTACTGTTTGTATTATAAAACACCTACTAGAAAGAAAAGCGTGGAGATAAAAGTGCATTTAAATTTGGCAGCTAGTATGGCCACGTTCTCTCTGGACACTGAAATAGCTGCAGGATTGAGCCAGGTCTCTATGAAAGTCACAAAAGGAAAAGCCACAGCAGAGCCCAGGTCCGAGACGCAGACCCAGCCTTTGGACCATGTGCGCGCCTTGTGCTCTTGGCAGTAATGGTCCCTCTCCCATTTCAGACGGGAGCGCTGCTGAAGACTGTCCACGTCTCCTAGAGACTGCGGGTGCTCTCCAGTAGCTCAGGTAGACAGTGGCCCAGAACTGATTCACCACATATTCCAGCGAGCTTGGGAAACTTGCTGTGTCCCAGCTCCAAGCCATTGTAGGTAACTTCCCATCCCACCAAGAGAGCAAGTGTGCTTCTTGCATCACCAAGAGGAAGGGACGCCAAGAGCCAAGAGAGAGGCAGAGAGACAGCCTGGCCTCAGTCGGAGACACAGCCAGTCCTGCCTGGAGCCAGCAGAGTGTGAGTGCTTACCAGCTTCAGGCCATGGAGGTGGCTCGTGAGATGTTTCCACGTGGTGTCTCCTGTGTGCCTGAGAAGCCCTCTCCTGGGATGTGGCTTTGTGCTGGAGTGTGGACATCTGACACAGTCCCCAGGCTGCTGCACACTGCGCTGTGAGCGGTGAGCTGTGTGCTAGGTTCACAGGAGTCACATTGCCACATGCTGGCATGTGGTAGGTAGCTGTCCTTGAGTGGGACAACCTCTGAGAAAGGTGGCTGCTCTCATCAGCTCAGGCAGGCCTTCCCCCTCCACTCCAGATTGCCACGACTTGGTGTCCTGACTTTTGAACAACTGTTAATGCAGCCTTTGTTATTTTCTTCAGTAGATTGTGCTCCTGAGCCAGTAGTGTGTGTGTGTGTGTGTGTGTGTTTTAATGCATTTGGCACAGGGTCTCACAATGCAGCTCAGACTCAGTGACCCTCCTGTTCTCAGCCTCCCCAGGGCTGGGATTACAGGCCTGCGCCACCACACCTGGTCTCGGTGGCCGGGGCCAGAATGGCGTGTACTGGGGATCAAACCCTGGACCCTGTGCTTGCCTAAGCAGGCGCTTAGTCCACTGTGCTATCTCACTGGCCTTCCCCCCCACCCCCGTTCCCCATTTAGGAGTAGGATGGGGTGGCTGGGAAAAAGCGCAGCAGAATAAGCGCTTGCCTGGCAAGCACGAGGTCGTGAGTTTGATTTCTGGTACCAAAAAAAAAAGTAGGATGGGATTAACTGGAAATGTGCTGACATTTTTGAGATATTCAAAACATGTATGATGGGGGGCCAAGGAGATGGCTCAGTAGAATAAATGCTTCCCTGGCAAGCACAAGGGCCTGAGTTCAATTCCCAGTTCTGCCAAAAAAAAAAAAAAAAAAAAAAAAGACCTCAAAACATATATGATGATCTTCATGAATTTTTTTTTCATTCCGCATTTACTTCCCACTTTCTTTAATCTTTTTT